TTTTTTGGCCTGTTCTCACCCCCCTGGGGAGGCCAAACCTTGGGTTTTGAGTCCAGTTTTGGGTCCTTGAGGTCAGGAAGGACTTTTGAGGGGTTGGAGAAGATCCAGGGAAGAACAACCAGGCTGAGGAAGGGAGGGAAGAACAACCAGGGTGGGGAAGGGACTGGAACACAATTCCCATGGGGAGAGGCTGATCAGTGACCAGTAGGAGCAGGGAAGGGATTTTTTGGCCTGTTCTCATCCCCCTGGGGAGGCCCAACCTTGAATTTTGAGTCCAGTTTTGGGTCCCTTCAGGTCAGGAAGGACTTTTGAGGGGCTGGAGAAGATCCAGGGAAGAACAACCAGGGTGGGGAAGGGACTGGAACACAATTCCCATGGGGAGAGGTTGATCAGTGACCAGTAGGAGCAGGGAAGGGATTTTTTGGCCTGTTCTCATCCTTTGGGGAGGCCAAACCTTGGGTTTTGAGTCCAATTTTGGGTCCTTGAGGTCAGGAAGGACTTTTGAGGGGTTGGAGAAGATCCAGGGAAGAACAACCAGGGTGGGGAAGGGACTGGAACACAATTCCCATGGGGAGAGGCTGATCAGGGGCTGATGGGATTAGGGAAGGGATTTTTTGGCCTGTTCTCATCCCCCTGGGGAGGCCAAACCTTGAGTTTTGAGTCGAGTTTTGGGTCCCTTCAGGTCAGGAAGGACTTTTGAGGGGCTGGAGAAGATCCAGGGAAGAACAACCAGGATGGGGAAGGGAGGGAAGAACAACCAGGCTGGGGAAGGGAGGGAAGAACAACCAGGCTGGGGAAGGGACTGGAACACAATTCCCATGGGGAGAGGCTGATCAGTGGCAACAGGAGCAGGGAAATGATTTTTGACCCATTCTCACCCCTGGGGAGGCCAAACCTTGAGTTTTGTGTCGAGTTTTGGGTCCTTGAGGTCAGGAAGGACTTTTGAGGGGCTGGAGAAGATCCAGGGAAGAACAACCAGGGTGGGGAAGGGACTGGAACACAATTCCCATCAGGAGAGGCTGATCAGTGACCAGTAGGAGCAGGGAAGGGATTTTTTGGCCTGTTCTCATCCCCCTGGGGAGGCCCAACCTTGAATTTTGAGTCCAGTTTTGGGTCTCTTCAGGTCAGGAAGGACTTTTGAGGGGCTGGAGAAGATCCAGGGAAGAACAACCAGGCTGGGGAAGGGAGGGAAGAACAACCAGGGTGGGGAAGGGAGTGGAACACAATTCCCATGGGGAGAGGCTGAGGGAGCTGGGGGGGCTCATCCTGGACAGGAGAAGGCTCAAGGGTTGACCTCATCACCCCCCCAAAACTCCCTGAGAGGAGGTTGGAGCCTCTTCCGTGGCCTCCTCTCCCAGGAACCACCAGAAGGACCAGAGGGGTCGATCTCCAGCTCTGCCAGGGGAAGGTTTGGGTGGGATTTTGGGAATAAAAATCCTTCCCAGGGGGGGGAGTGATCAGGAATTGGAATGCCCTGCCCAGAGAGAGGTTTTTAAGGTTTTTTAAGGACGAGCTTCGCCATCCCTGGAGGTGTTTAGGAGGGAAGGGGGTTGGATTTGAGGTTTTTTAAGGACGAGCTTCACCATCCCTGGAGGTGTTTTAGGACGAGCCCGGACGCGGCACCACCACCATCATCATCATCTTGGGAAATCCCTTCCAACCCCCCTGAATTCCACCATCCCCACCATCCCAACCGCTGATCCCCCACCTCTCTTTGCCGTCAGGGGGGGCTGGACATGGAGGTGAAGGCGGTGGAGGACGATGGCAGGACCTACTTCTACCAGCTGTGGTACGACCAGGAGTACGCGCGCTTCGAGAGCCCGCCCGACGCCCGCCCCGCCGACGACAACAAGTACAAGTGAGGGCCAAACCCCCCATTTTTTGTTTTTTTAATTTTTAATTTTTATTTTTATTTTTATTTTGGGGGACCCCTCCCCCCAAAAAAAGGCAGGTATAAAAAAAAACCCAAAAAAAACCCAAAAACCAAACGAACAAACAAAAACAAAACAAAAACAAAAACAAAAAAAAGCAAAAAAACCACAAAACAAAAGCAAACAAAAAAACCAACAAAAACCAAACAAAAAACGAACAAAACAAAACAAAAAAACCAACCAAAAAACCCACAAACAAACAAACAAACAAACCCCAAAACCAAACAAAAAACAAACAAACAAAAAACCAACAAAAAACGAACAAAACAAAATGAAACAAACACCAAAAAAAAACCCCAAAAACAAACAAAAAAAGAAAAAACCAAAACCAAACAAAAAACAAACAAAAAAACCAACAAAAAACCAGACAAAAACCAAACACACAAAAAAAAACCCCCACAAAAAACCCAAAAACAAAAAACCAAAAAAAAAAACCTCAAAACCAAACAAAAAAAAACCCAAACAAACAAAAAACCCCAACAAAAACCCAAACAAAAAACAAACAAAACAAACAAAAAACCAACCAACCAACCAACCAAAAAAAACCCGAGCAAGGAGCTCTTATTGTTTCGTGTTCTGAAGGAAACCTCGGCTTCAGGGCCTGATTTCCCTCTCCAAACGTCCAAATTCCTTCAGAGCTGGGATTTATTCCCCCCTGAGCTCCTTGCTCGGGGAGTTTTTAGGGATCTGCTGGGATTTATTCCCCCCCTGAGCTCCTTGCTCGCTGTTTTTGGGGAGTTTTTAGGGATCTGCTGGGATTTATTCCCCCCCTGAGCTCCTTGCTCGCTGTTTTTGGGGGGTTTTTAGGGATCTGCTGGGATTTAT